CTCCCCCCGGAGCCGTCTCTGACGCCTCCGGTGTTTTACACAGCTCCATAGGGAGAGGAGAGGTGGGAAACCGGGGGGACGGAGGGGGTGATGAAGTTTTGGGGGATCGTGCGGGGATGCTCCTAGGGAGGAAAACCCATTTAGGGGGGAGTGGATGTGTCTAGTGAACCCTGGATAACGGCAGAGCTCAGCCAGACCCGTCTGAAGGGGAATATTATTATTTTTTTCCCTTGGAAAGGGTACATTTACCTTTTCTCCATTGACTTTCACGGACACGAGGGCAGCTCCTCCCAATGAATCCCTGCTCGGCCCCTACGGGGAGAAATGCAGGCGGCATCTCCATCTGGTGCAGCATTGAACGCCGTGGGATGCTCCATCACCCTCTGATCTCTGGAGATAGCCAGAAACCGGGGGGTGGGGGGTCCCCCAAGGTATCTGGGGGGGGGCTTCCAGCCCACCCTACATGGTCCCAATCGAGGGGACAGGCGGGGTTGTTGGGTACCAGCATCACTGATGGGTATTGGCATCACCAATGTGTATCAGCGATGGGTATCAGCATCACCGATCGGTATCAGCATCACCAATGGGTGTCAGTGATGGGTACATCCACAAGCAGCCCCATACCTTTTGTTATTGAAGAGCTCTAGGTCAGCCAGAGGTTTTGTTACACAAAGCAGAAATGTTTTCGGCTCCCGGGCTGGGAGATGGGGGTAGAGATGGGGGTAGATAGCTTATCTGCAAGAGATGTCAGCAGAAGGATCCGCCTGGGCTGCCTGTTTCTGGCTGTTTCTCTCCATTCCCCTGAAAAAAAATCCAAACCCCTCAAGGTTTTCCTCTTCACCATCCCAAATCTTGGCAGCTGCTCACCCAGGCGTAGGTGATCACATCCCCCCTGAACCAGCTCTCACAAAGCTGAGTAATAATGAACTATGGCCCTCAAATCCTCTGGATCTACTGCTCCAAAAGATGCTCCGAGGGGGAGGGACCCCACAGGTACCATCCCTGAGTGCCCCAGTGAAGCATGGGGTGACTGCCTGGCCAGTTCCCATGGGATGCAGCAATTTTATAGGTGGGAATTGTGGTGGAGGGACCACATTTTCGGTGGTGGTGAGCTCTGGCTTGTTGCTCTCCATCCCTGCATCCCTCTTGGTACCCCGGGGTGGGTGGAAGCAGGGTTTCGGCAAGCCTGCCCTGGCTTGGAGGATGCTGCACCACAGCAAATATGGGATCCACCCCCCAAAATAAGAGTTAAACCCACCTTTGATAGATTGGGACAGGCTGCTTCAAACCAGTCCCCTCCAAAACAGGGGCCCAGTCCTCAATGAGCTGCAGTAATTAATGGGAGACAATAGGCATTGTCTGCAGAGTAGAGGATGCCAGGGATGCCTGCAGCCTTTTTGGCCCCAGGGGACACTCGGTGCAGCGAGGAGGGGTCTCCCTTATCTTTCCATGGTGTTTTATCAGAGGGAAGGGGATGGCCCCCTAAAAATGCCACATCTCCCAAAGCTGAAGGCTTTTGGCTGTCCCTCGGATGCAGCCAGCATCGGATGGGGCTGACATCATCTCTCTCGCATGCCAGCACCCAAGGCTGCGGGAAGCGTGGGGTATCCCCAATTTCAGGATGAGGGAGGGTCTCCAGGAACCCCCTTCCTTCTTTTCCAGGTGAGGACGCTCTTTGTCAGCGGTTTGCCTCTGGACATCAAACCCCGGGAGCTCTACCTGCTCTTCAGGCCCTTTAAGGTACCAAATTGGGGAGGGGGGCATTGAGGTGACCCGTGCCCCATCCCTACATACCCTAGTGAGATCTCATTTCCCAAATAACCATCGAGTGATTTTCTTCCCCAAAACAAATTCCCCTTCCAAAGGGACAACCGAAATGCTGGGATCTTCACAAAAAAAACCCCATTTTTCTATTCTTCCCTTGCAGGGATACGAAGGCTCCCTTATCAAACTCACCTCCAAGCAGGTAAGAGCTGCTCAAAACAGGTTGAGCATCCCCGGTCACCCCACACCGCGCTCCCACCCTGCCCTGGGGTGGTCCCTGGGGTGGGTGTAGGGGTCCCCTTGCTGCCCCCCATCAGCCTGATCCCATTCTCCTTTCCCCGCAGCCCGTCGGCTTTGTCAGCTTCGACAGCCGCTCCGAGGCAGAGGCAGCCAAAAACGCCCTGAACGTGAGTGCACCCCCAAGTGCTCCCCAAAATTCCCCTGATCCCCCTGCTTCTTTTCCCTGGATGGTCCCCAGATTCCTCCATCCCAGTCTGTGCATCCCCATCCCTGCAGCCATTCGCAATTGGCTGCTTCTCATCTGCACCAGGGCCATCTGGGGGGGTTTGAACCCTAAGGATCGGCCAGAGAGGCCTTTCCCAGCCTTTCCTGTTTGTCCAGCGAGAAAAATCCCAGTTAAAGCTGAAAAAACTTGGAGGGAGAAAAATGCATGGGGAGGGGGCATCCCCTTGCCCACCGGGTTATCCCCCACCTCACCTTCTGTTTTAGGGAGAAAATAACCAAAGAAAAAGCAAATTGTGCTTTCCATTAGCAGCTCCCTCCTACCTCTGCGGAGTTAACCTCCCGAAAACCGTCACAGCCCCTCCTCGTCTTCATTTTCAATGTAAACCTCTTTTTTTTTTTTGGCTCCGCTAATCCCTCTGGATAAGAGCTGGGCCGCATGGGACGCCGACTGCCAAATATGGTGCCGATGCTAAAGATGCCGGAGGAATGCGAGCCGCCTCGGGGCCCAGCAAATTAGCTCATTTCGGCGCTGGAAGCCGAAAAACCATCATTAATAATGGGGTTATTTTCGGTGCGGGGCTGCTGGAGCAGCCGGGCTTCCCTCCCTTCCTCCCTTCCCTTCCCTTCCCTCCCTCCTGCAGGGCATCCGCTTCGATCCCGAAATCCCCCAAACGCTGCGGCTGGAGTTCGCCAAGGCCAACACCAAGATGGCCAAGAGCAAACTGGTGGGGACCCCCAACCCCAGCGCGCCGCTGCCC